AAAAAAAAAAAAAAAAAAAAAAAAAAAAAAAAAAAAAAAAAAAAAAAAAAATCGTATCAGCTACAATTAGAGTGTCCTGGACAGCACGTGCTTTGCTTTAGAAATTTGTGCATAGAACCCTCAAGAGACATCCATAAATCGTCTCAGGCAAAATAATAGCCAAAATACCCAAACCATCAAAGGCATACATCATTGGCTACGCATGACAGTATATCATGTTGATCACGAGAAAGATTATGAGATATAGGTTCTGAAATATTTGAACACATAAATATATGGGTCATGATGTTGCACTAATAAGTTATTTGCGAACATGTAAAAATTTGCAGCCTTGCACGCAAGCTCCTCTATCTAAAATGTATGTAGTGCTTCGATATCAAGTAGCATATAAAATAATCCTTTATGACGATGGTTAATTCAAGACAACCTCTGATAAATGCATACCAAGTGACTTTTTCAAGGTTTGAAGTTTGTAATAAAGCAGAGGTCATCACATCAAGTTAGTTCAAAAACTGCATGAATGTGTTCTTACAAGCCAACTTAAACTCATAAATGGACCTAAATAAACAAAAAAAAAAAAAGATCTATGTGTAAGCGTGCACACAAGAGAGAGCACCAGCCTTGTTGAGGACCAGTAAACATAATATATTCTTACATGCCAGCTCAAATTCATAAACAGTCCTATATAAACAAGAATGCAACAGAAATGAACGAACATGTATGCATGCACAAAGAGAGAGATAGAGACCCTGCCTTATAAAGCAGTGCTGTTTGGCTAATGCGGAGAAATAGTGCAGTCATAAACTCTAAGGTCATGTAGTTCACATTAGGAAGTTTCTTTAAAATGTTTCGCAGGTCAGTAATGCTTGTACGTGCACTCCTGATCTCATTGTAAAGCTTAAGTGTGACTAGTGGCTCAGGAAAACTGGCCAGGTAACATTTAGCTAGAGCTGCTATATCAACTGGATTTGTACCTTCAGGTACTGGGGCATTGGCATCTGAAAAATGTATGCAACCGACACACATTGTGAAGTTATTGAAAGTAGATCACAAAAGACAAAACTTAACCGCATAAACTACTTCCTTTACCTTGATTATACATTGACACCAACTGCTGAAGAACCCTTTTATCTCCGTCAGACTTAAATAGCCATGGTGAGTTTAGCCCTAAAAAAAATAAAGGATAAGCAAAGGCAAATGTTCGATGGAATTTTCGTCACATGCAAAAAAAAAAAAAAATGTATAAACGCGTTCATGTATGGAAGTAATTTTGAAATCCAGTACCTGACGAGTCGAGATATTCAGCACATCTGACCAAAATATGTGGAATGATCCTGCTTGACTGTTGTCTTTGTACGGTTACCTCAATTGGAACTCCAAATACTAGAGATTCATATCAAAATAAAAAATAAATACAGACCCATGCAAGAAAAGTTTGCAGAGAGCTCAAACGTGTAAATTACTCGATAACATTAAATAAACTAAATGGACAAAATTCAGAAACTTACCATCAGTACTGGCAACCTCCTGCATAATTGTAAACAAACATGAGTTAGATCACGGGTATAATATGCAAAGAGAGGCGAATTGTCAACTGTATAGGATGAAGATTACCTTCTGCCTTCGTTCAACTGTCAAAATTGTATTGTACTTTTGTGCAGTCTTTTTTACAAACTAAGAAACATACACAAGTCGAATATGAAAGGAAATATCATTTCATGTAACATAAAAATGGAAAAGAAAAGTTTCGCCAAAATTACCTCTTCAACTTTATCTTTCCCCACGACAACTTTCTCCTTTGTCTCTGACATGCCTTTCCTCAAGAATGTGCCAGTAGTAGCCAATCCGCTCTTGACTACAGAACCAACTCGTTCAACCACGTCAGCAGCATTTCCTTTTGCATCCTTTGCAACTCCCCCAACGAAAGTTCCAGCTGATTGTCCAGCTTGTTTCAGCTTTACTCCTGCAATATATCATTATAGGACAGAAAACATGAGAATTAGAAATGCAGGAGACCAAACAACAAAATCATATTCATTTAAGTACTGAAAAGAGTACCTGATGAAGAAAAGAAACCACCAGCCTTTTCCTTCCACTCTGAAGTATTAACAGAAGGCATTGGACCAACTTTGAAACCAGCGTCAGTTTAAATTTGTGTATTGATTATGCCTGTTGCAGAACAATACATCGAAGTTCAAAATAATAGCACCGATTCATACTTTCCCTTACACTATTAAATTCAGTTCAAAAGAAACCCCGAATGATAAGGAATCTGACATCCATGACTAAAAACTTAATTACTATAATTCAGTTCATTCTCAACTAAACACTATCATCAACTGTCTCAATACTCTCAATTATATTTCATTTTCTATCCTTTCCTAGCAAAAAGTAGTGAAAAAACTAATAAAGTCATCCGCTAAAACTCTTTAAACATTTCACTTCTTTCCTCATCCCAGTAAAATTGATAAAACAAACAAGCTAGTCATATCCGATGCAAAAATCTAGGAACCATCCACTGTCAATGAAACACAACTCAACCTTAAACATAAAAATTGACTACCGCACAAGATCGTCCAAATAACATCACAAAATTATTTCAAAATCGAATTCTCTGCTAAATTTCCCGACAACAGAATAAATTAAGAAAAAAATCAGAGAGTGGCAGAATAAAGAGAAATAACATTAAAAAAAAAAAATCCACGAGCTCGAGAAAAGAAAACTAACGATAATCAATCACAACTGTTTACATTGATCAAACATAAAGAAATTTCTACCAGTAAAGAATTCTACCTCGCAGTCGTAATCGAGTACTAACAAAGCAGGAAAATCCCTAGAATCGCACAAGAACTTTGCCGAGAAAACCGAAGAAGAAAATTGTACTTAAGTACCCACGATTCCGAAAAGCCAAAAAACCGCGCTCAGCTTGCAGAAGCTGAAGATCATGAGGTCCCCAAATGCCAAGACTCCCTCCAAAAAACTAAATTAAATTAAATTAAATTTCACCGAGTGTGCAAACTCAAATAATAAATCGGACGGTTGTGAATTCTGCCACGTGGAACGACTTCAACAATATCCAGAGGGTTTTAAGAAACAGTTGGTGAGTTGGGTTTTCGAACTTTACCGTTGAAGTAATAAATTTAAGTTATGAATTACTCGATAAATAGGTATTTGAAGATATTTATTTTCGTCTAATTTGTTTGAAAAAAAAAACTAATTGACGATTTAATTTTTTTTTATTTCGTCAAATATTTGTTACTCTTTTATTTTCCATTCTTTTAATATATTAATTCGAAAAATATAACCCATTACCATATTTAAAAAATTAACTACAAAATAAATTGCAATCTGTATGACCCATTACCATATTTAAGAAAATTAATTTTTTAAATCTTATTATATAGACTATTTATGAAATTCTAAACTTATAAAATTATACAAATTTATTATTATTTTATACCATCACACCCACTAAGGACGATTTTTTAAAAAATATAAAACATCAATTAAATAATATTTAATTAGCAAAATTATAATATTTATATTCATTTATAAAAATTGAGATGGGTAAGGACTTGGGCGGGGCGAGGACAAGTATTTGTCCCTATCCCCATTTAACTCACGGAGATAATATCTCCGCACTCCCTCCATTTTCCACTCGGTGGGTCTCCGTAGATTAAATAGATGTCGCTATGTATTAAATGAAGAGAACCACGTCCGAATGATAATGATCATGACCCGATTAAAGGAGAAAGATATAAATGAACCAAATATACCTTCACAATTAAGAGTAGTTGTGAAGACTTATAACAATTTTATGTTGAGTGGTTATCTGTTTCTTATACTCTCAACTCTTGTCTGAGTTCCACAACAATTGGACTAGTCGTGAAGACTTATAACAATTTTATGTTGAGTGGTAATCTGTTCCTTATACTCTCGACTCTTGTCCTGGTTCCACAATAATTCGAGTAGGCGTGAAGTCTTATAACAATTTTATGTTGAGTGGTCATCCGTTCCTTATACTCTCAGCTCTTGTCCGGGTTCCACAACAATTAGAGTAGTCGTGAAGACTTGTATAATTTTATGTTGAGTGGTCATCCGTTCCTTATACTCTCGATTCTTGTCCGGGTTCCACAACAATTGGAGTAGTCGTGAAGACTTGTATAATTTTATGTTGAGTGGTCATCCGTTCCTTATACTCTCGATTCTTGTCCAGGTTCCACAACAATTGGAGTAGTCGTGAAGACTTATAACAATTTTATGTCAAGTGGTCATCCATTTCTTATACTCTCGACTCTTGTTCGGGTTCCATAACAATTGGAGTAGTCATGAAGAATTATAACAATTTTATGTTCAAGGGTCATCCGTTCCTTATACTCTGGACTCTTGTTCGAGTTCCACAACAATTGGAGTAGTCGTGAAGATTTATAACAATTTTATGTTGAGTGCTCATCCGTTCCTTATACTTTCAACTCTTGTCCCGGTCTCACAACAATTGGAGTAGGCGTGAAGACTTATAACAATTGTATATCGAGTGGTCATCCGTTTGTTATACTCTCGACTCTTGTCCCGGTTCCACAACAATTGGAGTAGTCGTGAAGACTTATAACAATTTTATGTTGAGTGGTCATTCGTTCCTTATACTCTCGACTCTTGTCCCGGTTCCACGACAATTCTCTTCCAAAACCAATGCTCCATCCAAACCCTATCCATCTGTTCAATGGGAATATACTTAGTCTCCGGCAAGAAAAGCAACACAAACGAAGTCATAATCAAAACCCATCCACCAAAGAAGAAGAAAGTGCCACTTTTCAAGCGACAAAGCATAAAGAGAAAGCTCTGAGCTATGGCGAAAGTGAAGAGAAAATTTGCAGCCACTGTAATGCTCTGCCCAGCTGATCTAATCTCCAGCTGAAAAATCTCACTCGGAACCAACCAACCAAGAGGACCCCAAGACCACGCAAACCCAGCAACATATATGCATATCAAAACAAGAACAAGATACGCATACCCTTTGCTCAGCCTGCCATGATCACCCAGTTGAGCAGCCATTATGCTTCCAATTACTATCTGCGAAACAAACATTTGAACTCCCCCAACTGTGAACAAAGCTCTTCGCCCAAGCTTGTCTACTAGAAGCATTGAAATTAAGGTCGCTGCAGTTCCCACAACCCCAACCACGACTGCCGACAACAGTGAACCACTTTCATCTAATCCAACAGTTCTAAAAAGAATTGGCGCGTAGAATGAAATGACATTGATACCAGTTACTTGTTGGAAGAACTGTATGGCTATGGCCATCACAAGTTGAGGTCTGTACTTTCGTTGAGTAATTTTCACGAACGGTTTCTTGATTGCCTTTGATGTTGCATTCGCCTTCACGAGATCTTCGAATTCCGCGTCGACGTCGTCTGTTCCACGGATCCGTTGCAGCATTTTCTTCGCCTTTTGATGTTCATCACTGCGTTGAATCAGGCTGTTTGGAGTTTCAGGTAAGAAAATCGAACCTAAGGTTAATAGCGACGCCGGAACCCCAGCCAAAGCTAAGGAGATTCGCCAACTGGAGCTGTTCTTGAGCTTCTCGGTTCCGAAATTGACGAGATTAGCCGAAAGTACGCCGATTCCAACGCAGAGTTGGAAGCCATTGTTGATTGCTCCCCTGTAATTGTGCGGTGCCATTTCCGAGAGATACAGAGGAATCGCCTAAAGAAAATTCATCATAATTCCAACAATTTCTCAATTAGGGTTACGAAACCCGAAACCGACGGCGATTAGAACAAAACCTGATTAGTGAATCCAAGGCCGATTCCGAGCAGAATCCGGCCAAGTAGAAGCATGTAGACATTGGCGGCCGCTCCGCCCAAGGCGGCACCGACGAGAAAGGCTACGCCGCCGGCGAGAATGGAAGGCTTTCTTCCGAAGGATCTGGTGACGGAGGAAGCAAAGAAGGTGAAAACAAGGCCGGCAATGTAGAGGGAAGACGTGAAGGAGGTCAAGAGTTGGCTATCGAATTTGCAGTAGTTGCTTATTTCTTCATCTTCTTTCATCTTTCTGTTCACTTCCGCGAAAAATTTGTTCAGAAATGGCTCCATTGATGTCACTCCACCTTCACAACAGTAGCTTTGTTCATCATTCACACAGAAAACTTGTGAGAACTTGGAAGAAATTTGTGGAAACGTATTTTACAAATCCATTTGAAAAGAACATATTGAAGATCGTTGGAAGGGAATCATCGCGAGTTCATGAGTTTATAACTAAAAAATACATAATCATATCATTGCGGAGACCCGTAGTTCCAAACACTTTTTAGTTGAAAATAAAGCATAATACAATAGATACCTGAGATTCCAATGTCGTAGCCGAAAATGAGGCCTCCCATGGCAGCCACCATACAAGAAAGTAGCACAAATAACGTCAATTGGCCCTTATAATCATCCTGTCCTGTGCCCTTCACAAACCCTGCAATAGCCATTGATAGATCTTGGTTGCTACTGTTTCTTTAGAGGACGAGAGATTGATGAAGAAGATGATGATGATAAGCTTTTAGCAAACTCTATTGACTCGTATTTCCAAAGATCAACATTAAATTATGTAGTTTAGTGTCACATTAGTCAATGAAAGCTACTATCATATTTAATTCATTTGAAAAATCATAGAGTTGCTTTGAAATTTGGGGGATTGAGGACTCCATCAGTTAAATCATGGACGGAATTATATATCTCGTTTGACCGATCCTTTATATTTTATAAAATATTCAAAAAATATATATATATATACAAGAAAAGACAACAATCTAATGCATATTTTATAGGGCCCCGATCTACCGCTGCAGCCCAGATAATGTCTTCTTCGAGCTTTTCCTTTCGAGCTTCCTTTCAAGGCTTTAAAACTTGTTTGCTAGTAAAAATAATAGTAAAGTTACTTTTATTCGTTAGCCTCGTAATTATAAAATGCATCTGAGAGAGGTTTTCACACTTTTATATCATTCCTCATTTGAGATCTCATTATCCACCTCTCTTGGGGCCACCGTCCTCGCTGGCACAACGGTCTAACTCTAATACTATTGTAACAGCCCAAACATACTGCTAGTAGATATTGTCCGTTGTGACTCGTTACGTATTATCGTCAACCTCACAATTTAAAAACGTGTCTACTAGAAAGAAGTTTCAACACCCTTATAAGAAATGTTTCGTTCTCCTCTCAAACCGATGTAAGATCTTACAATCTACCTTCTTGGGAGATCCATCATCCTCGTTAATACATTGCTCAGTGTCTAACTCTGATAACAACTGTAACAGTCCAAGGGGGCAAGAGAGAGCATAGTGCGAAGGATTATCGAGAATTGGTTGTCGGTTGATTTTATCTTAAAAATAATCGTAAAAATATATTTTAATTTTTAAAAAAATTTAAAGTGATTATCCAAAAGATAAGTATATTAAAAAAAAGATAAAAGTTGATAAGGTATTTTTATCAATTCAATAAATTTACTTAGTTATTATTATTATTTATTTATTTGTAGGCGGCGGGTTTGGGAGTGCCAGAAAGACCGTACCCTATGGAAACCTATGCTTAAGCGTTCAGGGTTCTCCTTTTGCAAACAGCGGAACGGTCGACTTTCTTTGTTCCTCGCATCGATCTCTTTCTCCCTCTTCAAGGACTCCACATGGACTCTCTCAACTCAAACCCTAACCCTAATTCCGCCATCGAAACCCTAGTTCCTTATCCTCCTGATTATTCTACTCCCGAAAATTTCGAAGACCACGATCGTGACTCTTCTATCCCGCCCACTTCCGATTATCACAACTCCTCCTTATTTTCGGGACAAGAAGCTCAGGATTTCCAAGGTCGAAACTCCTCGATTTCTCATGGTGAGAATCCGGGGTTTAGTTCTGGGAATGGATATGCTGACAACCAAGCGGCCGATGGTGCTCATATCGGTGCCAATAATGTGCCGAAGGTGGAGATTCAGAGGCCGCTGCTGTCGGAGAATGGATTT